GTGGCCTGTTTTTAATTTGTCATTCAACTTGCTCTTTCCCTGCGGTGGGCTTATCGCCCCCTATTCAAGCTCCACCGCGCTCCATTCTGCTTTTTCCCCTGATGGTGGAGAGATTATTCTTCCCCTCCAGTTGTTCCCCACTTTCCTTCGGAGTCTGAAAACTCATCTCTTCACGAAATACCTCATCGTCGTCCTCGCCTCACGGAATCATCTCTCCCCATCCACCGTCTCCCTGCTGCACTGTCTGAAAACAACAAAAAGCTTCCTCTTCTCCGCTGTTGTTGTTTTTATTTCTATTCCCCTTAGCTCCTCGCCCACATGTATATTATATTGAGGTCAACGAATGGAAAGTATGGCACTAAATAGAGCTCTCGGTGTCGACGGAAAAGAAGGTGCTTTGGGGTTTGGACATCATTACACTCACTGCACCACTTTAAAATCGATTGCAAAAAAAACACAGGAAAAATCTATTGTATATTTCACCTTAAATATATAATAGAATTTTTAAATAACATGGATATTAAAGACACAAAATGAAGCACTACATTTTCTTTTGTGAGCAGTACAGCTGCAGAGAACAGGCGTAAGAGCCCCATCTAGCTGTCAAACAAGCAGCGTGCAAAGCTTGTTGTATGATATACCATCTATTTATGCATTAATTCATCAATTGTCAACTTCAGTACACCAAATACTGTTCATTTGAATATTTTTAGAAACCCCTTTTATTGGCTCAACTTTTAATGGAGTGTAAATTAGAGCAGTACAATTAATTTATAATTCATATATATTATATAGTGTACCGGTAAATATAAATTATACGGTTATGGCAATAGTGACATTTCGACTGTGTTGCAACAACATACTGCAATCGTATTTCCACAATTGCGTATATATTATCACAAAAAAATGACAATAAATGAACCTGGTAAAATATGAGCCACGCATTTAAAAAAAAAAGACAATATCACAATAAAATACATATTCTTCAATCGTGACAATCGTGTCAATAGTGAGAAGACTGAGACACATTCTAAGTCCTAACATATGCAAAAAGGAATGAGGTAATACTATAAAACTAAATAGGCTACATGATGCTACTTAGGCCAGACAGGGTGTTGCAGCATGTGCCCACATGTAGCATCGTGCCAGCTGACCTGGCAGCAGCAACAGCTACTCCTCCTTTAACAAAGTGTGAGGGAACGAGGTCATTGTGGAAAAACACGCCCGTCAGAGTCGCCGCTGCCAAATGGTGTAAAGCCGGAGGTGACCTGCTGTAATTTGATTTGTCCGGAACGGAGTCGTAGGTTTGTGACCGTCTGAATCCCTGCTGTGTGTGTTTCTTTTGCAGGAGTCAGACTACCTGTTGGATTACAAAGGTAGAAATAATTCCTGTTGTGGAGAACACGTTGCTTTTCAAATGCAGAGAGAATTACCACTACAGTTGCAGTTTTTGACTCATTCTCATAAAAGTTGGACAGGGATTGTATTGTTGTTGTTGTTGTGGCATGCATTGGTACATATAAATATTTATCTACATGTATCTTCATCAAAATGATGATAAACCAGAAACATGTAGCTGAATATGACCTTGTGCAGCATGGGAACCTGACAACTTTGAAGCCCCAGCGGGATTTTGATTTAATTTTTAATTGCATTTCATGCTTTGGAGTTTTTTTTGTGCTGCTCATACATGCTCGTAGAACAGAAGTATAAATGGTCTGAATTATGTAAAAAATACTTGAAAGTGCTGCTAATTGGCTTTTATCCTCCGGGTTCTTCCCACCCGTATTATAATGATGGATTCCCAGGCCCCCGTGATCCTGGGAGGCAGCAGCTCTTTGGCTATGCAGACAAATTGGTGGCTTTGTTTGGACTAAGAACACCAGAGATACCTCACCGAGGCAGGCGAAGGTGGGAGGGTACTCATATGGGTGACGAGTTGGTAAAGAACCACCTTTTAATATACGGTTAGAACCTATTTGAGTTTGTGAACACTAGAGGGCGCTGGAGTGTATTCTTTTATTTTCCATTCACACTGCAGCTCATCTAGAAGACGCTGGGTGCTCTCGGTCATGAAGTAGGTAAATCCAATGAACACAACGTGCCCTCGAAGCTAAAATAATCATCTGACGACAGAGGGAGGAACTGAAGGCTCATTAACTTCTTTAAGTTAAAAGGCCTTCAGTTCAGGAATCAGGAATCAGAAATCAGGGAACATTTATTGCCATAATATGTCAGACATACAAAGAATTTGACTTGGCGGTCGGTTGTTTAGGTACACAACAAAGAAAGAAAAACAGGACGATGCGGAGCGCTTTTCAACCACAATACACGTTGGCCTTAATTTCTGTGGAATGTTTTAGAAACTCTCCCACTGCTGTCTTGTCTCACTCACGACCTTTGACCCCAAAGCCATAAACTCATCTTCACTGAGACATTGAACATAAGATATGGTCATGTCTTCCATGACCATAATGCACTCGCCACACATGCTGCCTGTTAAAATCTCCATATGCCTTTTATCTACTTTCTATTTCTTATATGTTCTGTCTTTTGTGATGTATCAAATAGTTTTTTTTTCACTTAAATATATAATGATATAAACATTGTAAAATGAAGAAGCACTTCATATTTGAGTTACATTGCTGTGAAGTAGCCCAAATCCTCATCATAAGTAGCCTGTAGTACATTCATAATGTTTGGGATTTTAGCTCTGCACCCAGCGGGGCTTTGAAACTGATCACAGACTTTGCATTGTTCCCTCAAGAGTGGCTTGTTTCGCTAAGTGATTTCCCTATAAATGCCTGAGGATCTTTATTTGCTTAAATCCCTCATAAATTGCATTACATTATGAGCTTACCGATTTAACAGTAGAACCAGTCAGAGGAGGCTTAAGCCCTATCACCAACCTGATTGTTGTTCTTAATTCAGGGAGCAGGGTTCTGAGCATCGAGGGATTTTATGCTTTGTCATCCTGTACAGGATTTCCCTCTGCCGGGGGAAGAGTATTTCCTATTTTCTTTGCGCTAAGCAACGTCCTCTCTTAAAGGCTGCTCAAACAATACATGCAACACAGCTGGCTTTCAGTTTGAAGAATACTGTTGCTCAAGACCCATCAGGGATATTTCTATAGATTTTAATGTAATCTGCAAAAATATTGATATTAATAAAACCCTGGACATTGGACAGATGAGGTCTCTTATCTCACCCAATTTTGTTCATCAAATAAGAGATATGTCATAATGTATAAAATACAAGAATGACCTCTTGCGTCTCTCCTACATTGACTCCCCATGTTTAAAGTTTCTAAAGAAATATCTTATTAGTTATTTAGACTCTCGTGTTCTATAGGGGCTTACATTGATAATTTCCATTATTGTTGGTTTTGATGGACACCGGGAGGAACAACGGACACTTTTTGGAATCAAATTGGGATTCAAATGAAGATTAAACAGATCAAACCGCATCTAGTAAGTCTAAACGTTACAATAGTTTATTTTCTGATGTTGTTCAAGGGGTCTTTGAGTTAGTCATGTTAGTAAAAGAAAGTTTTGCTTTGTCCCAAATGCAATGTGGGTTGACTCCTCCCCAGTGCACCCGGTACTCTTTGGCCTGCTTTTTGACCAGCTGCAGTGACAGCGTGGCTCAGTGTCATGCTGAGCTGCACCAGGTGGCGACGCAGGTAGCTCCATGCAACAACTTGCCAAAAAAATGGGAATGGTGATGAGTTATCAACTTGGAATTGGTATTTTCCTGTATAATCCTGCCTCAGTATTTACACAGCTATAATGAATTAATACTTTATTTTAAGACACAAACATAACTCTCTATGTATGTAGAAATGGTTCTTGTTGTATTCATGTTCCGTGGGTGACGTCTTTGCATACATGTATAGATCAATACATCCTTAAATGTAGCAAATTATCAATCATTGAGCACAAATACAACAAAATACAAAGGAATAAAAATCATTAAAAACCACTGACTGATATAAGCGCCTTCGTTTTTTTCAAAATCCTTGTGATTTATAAAGAACACAAAAAATCGGATGCAATCTCTTAAAGGGCTCGTATGTGGTGATGGTCTGCGGCTAAGAGAAAACTGTTTTGTGAGCCGATGTTTGGTTTGATCCATTTTTGGTTACTGTAGAAACATTGTGGCCGCCAAGGGGACTTTAAATGTAGACACAAAAGGCTCAACAGCGGCTGTACTTCCTGAGGAGGCTGAGGAAGTTTGGGATGTCTCCGAAGATCCTCAGCAACTTCTACAGCTGCATCATCGAGAGCATATTGAGCAGCTGCATCACCGTGTGGTACGGCAGCACATCCACCATGGACCGCAAACGCCTGCAGAGAGCGGTGAGGACAGCAGAAAAGATCACCAAGACCCCACTGCCCTCTCTGCAGAGCATCTACCACCGCAGGGTTCACAGGAGAGCTGCCTCCATTCTCAAAGACCCCACCCACCCCCAACATGGACTGTTCACGCTGTTATAGACTGTGACTGTACTGTTACGGTTGTCTTTCAGTTAAACTCAAAAAGGCCAATTAGTGGATATGAAAAATTCTATAAATGCATTTGGGTGCATTTGACTTGCTGTAAATCTTTGGCATTCATTTGTATGTTTAAATAATTTAAATAATGAATAGGAACGATGAGACATTCATTTTGCACACCGCTTGGATTCAAGATTCTTCTTCTTCGAGTAAATGTTATAGGCTACTATCATTCCTACAATAGCATTTTTCATTGTAAATTAGTGCACTTGTGATATTTCTAAAATCTGTATTTAGTGGCTGTGTATCATATCGATGTACGTCGATATGATACACAGCCCACTACATTTGGATCATTGCAGATGAGGGTAAACTTTATGTTCCGTCCTGAATACATCTGACATCTGATAACAACTTCAGAAACCGGAAGAGGGGGCACTAGGACCCGGAGGCGGCGAGGCGTCCCCCGTCTCTGCATCCATTGAGCTCACGCTGTGCGGGACCGAGCCGCCCGTCAGAGGAAGGACGTGAGCTGCAGGAGGAGGAGGCTCCAAGGGGTCTGCTGCAAGTTTTGTAAAAAGGAAAAAAAAGAAGAAAAAAATAGAAAGGAACTGCTTCGTGGTTTGAAAAGCACCCGGTTGCCCCCATGCAACGTCTGTCAGCTGCTCTTCAACAGTATCCTCCCGAGCTGGAGTGTGAGTGAATGCGCCTGCTGCGTTATTGCGGGTAGACAACCACGAGATTGTTTTCTCGACGTTATCGATTTGTTTATTTTGTTTTTATCTGCGTGGTTTGGACTTTCCACGATCCGGGACTTGGAAGTTGCGACAGGAGACGCACGCGCGGCGTCCTTCATCCCCCCACCGGCACTCTGGATAAAAGTTGCTTGTTTGTTGTTTGTTTGTTTTTTGGGGAATTCCGTTCAAAATAGCAGGAAAAAACAAAATAAGGGAGACAACATGTCGCTGAGCAGAAGTATTGAATTTGAACACTTTGAGGAACGAGAGAAGCCGCACCGGACGCCGAAACCCAGCTCCGGCTCCGGGTCCCAGTCGGGCTCCAGAGGCAACGGGCTGGTGCCGAGCCCCGCGCACAGTGCGCACTGTAGTTTCTACCGCACGCGCACCCTGCAGTCTCTCACCTCCGAGAAGAAAGCCAAAAAAGTGCGGTTCTATCGCAACGGAGACCGGTATTTTAAAGGATTGGTGTACGCGGTGTCCGGCGACCGGTTCAGGTCTCTGGATGCCTTGCTCATGGAGCTCACCAGGTCCCTGTCCGACAACGTCAACCTCCCACAAGGAGTCCGGGCGTTATACGCGTTGGATGGGGGCAGGAGGGTCACCAGCCTGGAGGAGTTGGTGGAAGGTGAGGCTGATCTTTGACGACCACAAATCATTTCACCAGGCTCAATACTTCACGTTGATTCAGTATAAAATGTTCCTTTTTTTTATAATGACGATGTCAACGATGGATGCTGTTTACTTTAAAGGGGAAAGTTATCTTTTGCCAGACAAATTGTTTTAGGTCAGCGCTCCTTCGTGGATGTGCCTAAATCCAATTGTCCCTTGAGGACATAACAGGATAATGGATGCCTTGTCCTGCATCATTTGCATCATTGACATAACCGTTGTGACATGTTTGACCCAGTGCCACGAATGCAGACAGGCCGATCGCTCCTCGGTGCAGCTTTAGCTCTGCTCAGTCTCCATTGATCTCAGCTTGACTCCCCACCGATCATTATTTGTGAGCTGAGTTTATGAGGGCTTCAAAGTGCATTGTGTGGCTCTAAGTGCGATCCTGCCTGGGGATGAATGTGTTATGAATGCGTAAAGGGCGCACGGCTCTTTGAAATTCATCTCACTCTCGGGGGCTTAAGAGAAATGGAAGTGTCCCTCCCCCATCCAGTATCAGTCCATCGGGAACTTAAGTTTTAATATACTTTTTTAAAACACTATGTTAAAGTAAGTCACCCAGTCCTCTACGCAGCCTTTTGGTTTCTGCAGTGTTATTCATCCTAGAAAGAAACCTCCCCATAATAAGGTTAATCTTCTTGTTCAGCCCCTCGTGTGTGCGCGTGTGTGTCTGTGTGCACCAAGACCTGCCTGCGATCCTCTCTTAACACTAAAGGTTATGGTTCCACACAACACACACACACACACACACACACACGGATCCTGACCTCTTACTGAAGTCAATATTCTCGCACACTGGTCTGTTTTCATCTCACACCCTCCTAAACCTTTGCACTGTGTGTCACACTCATTTCCTATGCACCATCCCCCGAGTGACCGGGAGGATTTAGGCCAACGTCTGATCTGAATCCTGTAGCATCACTAGTTTGGCAAAAGTTGTTTTGGTGCATTGGATGTGAACCGCAGCACTTTAAATGCGAGCCGTTCCGCCGCGTGAACTAGTTTTGCCAAGAGTACCACTGTATTTTTTTTTTAATTGTCTAATGATATTGAAGGGACTGAGATATTTTCTTTTTTTATTAATTATCACTACAAACTACTGCTGTTTGATCTAATGATTAACCAGGACAGTTTCTGGAAAGTTCATAATTAATGTTATATCCTTTAGAATTAAATGTGTTTCAACACATCAAGCACCTTAATCACAAATGCATTATGACGGTGACAGAAGTTTCAAAGGCAGAAATCCCCAAAACTTCAACAAATCAGCCAAACTATCTTTGACAAACGTGATGAGTAAGTGAGTAAGTGTTTTCGTGGGTAAGCTCAGACTGCATGTGGGCGAAGCATCACAGGCTCGTCCTTGTTTACTCACCGGTGTGACGGGCAGAGAGAGGGAACATCGCTGCAGAGCTCAGCAGCTCTGCCTCCATTGATTGAGGCCTGCCGGGGCTCTTTTGTGTGGAAATCCAATAAGCACCACTCGCATGTGTGTCCCTTATGGTTGGATGGGATTACTTGGCCAACCAGTCAACGCGTAGGGTTTTTTCCAATTGCAGGGGGAGGTGGTAGCGCCGAGCTGACGGCCGTAAGGTGCAAGACCAGTGCCGTTCCAGTGCACAGCAGGAGGATGTTGTTTACCCAGTTCGCTAGTCCCAAAATACAGTTAGAGGAAATGCATATTATGGACTCGTGGAATAATTGAACTCCTGTAGTAGTGGAAACAACCCGGTGTTAACGGATACTGAACTGGGCTTTGAGAAAGAGCTTTGTAGTTGTCCATGTGGACATGTGGGATTACGTGACGTGCTGACACAGAGACTCTAGTTGGACAATGTGTGCCAATGTCGTGTAATTTATCGTTGAGTTCATGAACTTATTCCAAAAAAATGTGAGACTTAAAAACCGCAAAACAAATGTGTCTGTGCACTAAACTCCAATCAGGGGAGAACAATCTAAACTAATGAATTGCCTTAATATTGAGACAGATGTACAGATGTGCGTCGGCTGCAGTAAAAGCCGCTGGACCGGTCAGACGGCCCCGTGGAAGGCTGTCCTCGCCTGTCGTCCACACGAGGACAGCAGCTGGTGGCGGCTGGTTGGGCCTCACCTCACGTCACCGAGGGATGCGGCACCTGAGCTCCCAGCACCTCGGGGGGATACACTTGTCACCAGTCGCCATCTGGGGGTCTTTTTAGTATTCTGTCAGCACCGGTTGTATTTTGTTTGAGTTTTCAGCTATAACTCAGTCCCCCCCAGCTGTGGCCTCGTCTCTCATTTAGACTTTGGTTAATTGCAAGCTTAATAAAACCCGGTATCATGGGACGCTCCGTTTCATCTGGCCTTCTTTCCCTGCAGCACAGGTCGTTCTTCACACATATCGGACAGCTGCTATTTTAGAGATTGTATTCAAATTCAGTGTTTAACAAAATATACTGAAACTTTACTGTATATTTAGTTGTACTATTGAACTAGAGATGCAGACGTCCAAGCTTTGCATGCCATATGTCCACGCACTTGTCCTATAAATAGAGGAAAAAGTTGATTCTGAGAGACAGCCAGTTGTTGGTGGACACGAATCCTTTCGTGAAGGGAACGAACAGAAAGTATCTGTCCCTTTTATCTCTCTTTCTCTGCACCGAGTTCCTCACTCGGCCTCCACAACGATCACCAGACATTCCTGCCGTGGTTTCCGTTCATCGGCCGAGCCCCTGCACATGACTTCATTCCTCCGGGAACGGAATGCCGTCGAATAAAACCAAACGCTCCGCTTCGGAGGAGGCCCGACGCAGCAGCTGGACAGCTGAAAGGGGGGCGAGAGGACGGCGTGTCACTGGCCTTGCCTCTCAATGTGCCTTTTTGTTTCCGACGGAGGAATGTTAACTCTTTGTTGTTCCGCTGATTCGCCTAAATCCGAGGGGACTGATCTATTTCCCTTCTTTAAAGTATTCTTTCAGAGTGCTGTTCGGGGACGTGGATGCCGTTTGCATGGTCCGGTTGCATTGACCTGCAGCCACGCCCAACTTATTTGTCCCCCCCCCCCCCCCCCTCCCCCGCCAGGCGAGAGTTACGTGTGCGCCTCCAACGAGCCGTTCCGCCGCGTGGACTACGCCAAGAACGTCAACCCCAACTGGTCGGTGGGCTGCAAGACCGGCACGTCCCGCTCCCTGTCCTCTCTCAACCCACTGAAGGGTGAGCTGCAGCACGAGGCCAAGGACTTCATCAAGCCCAAGCTGGTCACCGTCATCCGCAGCGGCGTCAAACCGCGCAAGGCCGTGCGCATCCTGCTTAACAAGAAGACGGCACACTCCTTCGAGCAGGTGCTCACCGACATCACCGACGCCATCAAGCTGGACTCCGGAGCCGTGAGGAGGCTGTACACCTTGGAGGGCCGGCAGGTGAGTCCGCTGACTGTTATTAGCCGGCATCCTGGTGCAAAACCAGTTGGCTAAAAGTGCAGTTGGAGTGAGGCAGCTGTGTATATAATTTTTTTTTTTTTAAAACAGATGGAACTATTGGGCTTGTTAGTCAAAGTTTCAATCCCTTAAAAAAAAAGTCTGTGATTTATAGGCTTCAGCTGTGTTCGCAGTCTAGGTAATTACGCACCATTTAATCATCCATACATAATTACACGCCGAGATTATTTCAACAAGGCACCAATGAATACATTTAAGAGTTCAGGCCATTTGCCATATCCATCAATATAGTTCTCTCCCCGCTCTATACCCCTCTATTAAGCCATTTGAGACTGCTTTTGCTCTAATCCAATCCATCTGGGACACATATAAAGTAATATTTCAATCTGAAACGGCCATTGAGGGTCCCTGGTGCTATGAGATGAGGTGAACACATGGTGCTCCTAATCAAGGAGATTTATAGGACGTCTCATCTGGGATAATTCAGGTGAATCATATTGTTTTAACTCTCGTCTCACATGGTTATATAACTTTAAATGAAGTAACAAGAGTAGTCTCTAAACGTAAGAGAAATATAAAATTATGGTTAAAAAGAATGTTTTTACAAATATTTAAAACGTTTTTTGTGAAATTTGTGAAATGCAGTTCTTTAGGGCAGACAGAATTACGATTTAACTAAGTAAGCTAACTGGGACGCACTTCAAATCATGGGGCAATTTCTTGTTGACTGTTATTTGTTCAGTAAACTGTGGCGACTGCACAAATACCGTAGTATTCTTTCATAAAATCAAGAAGAATCTTTTAGAGTGGATACCTTATCAGCATTTTGTTTGTACTTAAGAGCTTCAATATTAGCTTAATGATTTTGAATTAAACTATCAGTAATAACAATTTGGGCTTTAGGAGTCAAATATGTTTCAAACCACTAGATGATCATACTACATTATAGTTGAAATGAGGCTTAAACCACAAGATGCCAGAAAGCGTAACTCACCTGCATCCAAATATCTGGCAACCAGACCAGCTGGTGTTTGCTTCCTGTGAGCCGACAGGAACCTTTGTCAGCCCGAACCTTTTGACCTCTGACGGGCCCAGCCGGCCATCCTTTCTATCCAGCCGCCACTGTATAGGAACACGGCGTCTCGTGACTTGTTGTTACCACTGTTTTATGATAGTCTTCATTTACATGGTCGTGGTGTGAGCTCTTTGTGTCCGGTCATGAGGTGTGATGTGAAGGGGAGGTCAGATGAGCTTCCATGAGCCTTTAGCTTTTAGTGTCAGGGATTGATGTGTTCAAAAATACGGTACTTAAATATGATACCTGCTGCACAGGTTAATGCTTCTGATGAGAAGCAGGCTAGATTCTCTTGTGTGATTAATTCAGGCCCATATTGGTCACATAAAGCATTCATGTGTCTCTATTTCCATCTCTTAGTAAATTCCTACTCGGTCAGCTGTGCAGACCAGCTGTTCTATCCAGAACTTCTCGGCCTGTATTACCATGACGAATGCAACTTACAGCTAGGGACATATTTGTAGGATTCCAGTTTGGGGGGAGGAACGAGAGGATGGCAGGGAGCACGCTTCCTTTGACCTCAGTTTTATTTTGTTTTCTTCGTAATTGAGGAAGAGGAGGTAAGAGTCTGCCAGAGCAAACATGTCAATAACCTGACAGCTTCACTTACATCGGACCCGTGAACGCCGTCAAGCCTCTTTTCTCACGCTGAGTGATGCAGCGACGTGCGGTCAGTGGAGGCAGAGGAGGCCACTTGTGTCATCATGACATTCTGCGTTCCGCTGTTGTTTTTTTTCTTCACGTATTACAGACTGATAGCATAGTTAGCATGTGCTAGCCCCGTAATGCTGTTACTACGCAACAGACAAACAACATTGAGAACTTCACGTTTGTTAGCTTAGCACCAGAAGTTAGTTAATGATTAGCAAGGAGATCGGCATTCATTTGTGCGTCTCATTCATTCATTTAGCTCATGACGTCCACCTGAATGTACCTCTTTGGCTAAAAAGTGCCCTAGTACAAATTGCTACTTCATTAGATTCATATATTTGTGAATGTGACTTCCACCTCCCAGCCACCAACCTCGCCGCGCGTCACTGGAGAGGCACGGAAACGGCGCATTGTGCTGCATAGATGGGCTAAGATGATAACAACCAATAGCCATAGCTCCTATTGCACCACCTCTATCATCATAATAATAGAAATCCCTCTGCAACTCTTATAATTTAACATTTTTGTACAGTAATTTGTAGTTTATCTAGTCGACTTAGCTAAAGCTAATGCAGTCTACTACAACAGCCCTGTAATAAAGTCTACCTTCATGGAGTCCAGCTGTTGAAGCTCTTCTAGAGAGGCCTTTATTTAGTACATTTGGAAGCTGTAATTCGTAAAGCTATTGTACTGTGTTATATTATGCTAACAGGTGTTTCATTTTTCACAAGGGGGACGGAGTGGATTTTGCAGCAACTAGATGCTGGGCTACTACATGTTCCTATGAGGACTGAAGGAATGAAAAACACATAGTAGCTTTAGTCATAAATGTTCACAAATCCTGAAAAAATGCTACACGCTTTACTTTCCTCTTCTAGAAGTCACTAAGTCACACATAGACCAGTAAACACCCACGCACTCGCTGCAAGTGCCTTCCAGCAGGAGTCCACCATCTGCTCCTCCCAAAATCAAATCACAGGACCCGTCCACCAGGTCTGCAGGCGCAGCAACCCCCCTCCCGTTGATGCGCACACACACACACACACACACACACACACACACACACAGAGGCCCCCCACTGAGGCCTGGCCACCACCAGATAATTAGACCTAGGAGCTGCAACGGAGGGTTAAAGTGCAGCTGTCAGGTGTCTGTGTGTGTGTGTGTATTTGTGCTTCCTCAATACTTCTCTGTCCGCTCTCCTTCCTCGATGAAAAGCTCTCTCTTCAGACTGAATGTTAATTCTAGATCTCGGTTATCGGCGCCAGCTGAATCAGCTGCGTTTTTTGAGAGACACGCCCCGTTTAACATCTCCAAACTGACTGGGCATGCGGGAAATTGGAAGAGATTGGCTATTGTCGTTTATTAAATGGGGGCACAGTTACGAGGCCACAACTTGCTTAGTTGTCTATTTATTTTGTAAAAATCATGTAGAAGTGATTCTGGCCCAAACTTGACTTGTCATTTTGAATGTAAAAATGATATCTGTTATTCCTGAATAAAGGTTTTTTTTATTCCCCTAAATGAAAAGACGTTAGTGACGACAATTTCTAACAATCAGATACTTCTCTACTTCTCTTATTTGACCCTGAAATTGGTGCAATTAAAAACATCTGTCTCTTATTACTTCATCATTCATGCTGTGTTTAAATACGAGCACTGAATTCATCCATGCGTGCCTTGGATGTATTACAGTTTTGTAACAATCGAGTATTACATCGGCATTGATGAGGGAAGTATTTTCTTTAAATACCTTGAATGTTTGCTGTTCACGGTCTAAAAGTAAACCAAAGTTAAACGTTGGCTTGTTCTCTCAAAAGCATCTGCCTAAAACCCTGAAATCTGTTTTCCTTTCACAAGCCTTTTATATTGAGTGATATTTAGGATGAAATTCACTTTGCGCATTACTCAGCGGCTGGACGCAAATGATGAAATCATCAGCTCTCTAAAGTCTATGAAAGGCTTTTCAGTTCAGCGAGCTGAGGAATGAAAGAGGAAATGTGACTCGGCTCTGATAATAAGACTCAGATGTAATGAATTTGTCTGTTTACGACTTTGCAGTAGTTTGGGAGGTGCTCTGGATTCTTCATGATAAATTGGAGAAGGTTACAGAGTATTTTAGTTTATGAAAGAAATTCTCACTTTTTCAATGATTTATTTTTATATGTTAACTCTTCGTCATGTCAACGTTTTTGTCTGAATTGGTTAGAGGGAAGGGCATTAAGAATTTGGCATGCAGTTTCTTGCATCATGAGAACATCTATAGATGTTTTCAAAGCTCCAACCACCCAATGCCCATTTCTTCCTCACATTTAGTTTATATCAGAGTGGAACTAACAACCTTAAGAAAAGCCCTTTGCTTGAAACATTTAGTACCACCTTCAGTCGAAGGAATCATAGCAGCGGTGGGATCAAATTCCCACCGTAGTGAATAGAGTGAAAACGCATCTTTGACCTCCAGCACGTCATAAAGATGACCGATAGCTACTTCACGGTGGGTGGATTTCTGGGTTTCGAGGGCATCTCGTCAGAATGGGACGAAGGAGGATTTTGGTTAGCGCGGCTCTGACGCACCGTGGCACAATTTCACATGACACGCTTCTAACGATGACGGCCTCCTGGCCTGGATACTGTACACCAGCACAAATCTCACAGTACGCGTGTTAGCGGGGACGCTGCCGACGGTCAATGGATGTGAACCTGTTTGAGGTGTTGAAATCCTACTCACCACATTATGATGTTAAGGAACGTCATTGACAAGGTGGGGAAACACGCTGGAGGTGACAGACGGATTAGTGAGACTGTCTCCCTTTCTGGCTGACCGGGGTCACGGACACACAAGGGTTCCGTCTGATTATCAGGCATGAGCTGTTTTCGGGGGGGGCCGAGTCTGGATTAAACGCCACCATTTAGGTCAGCGGCCGTGGCATCGACACGCCCACCTATTGTCACATGCTGTCATTATCACACAGCACCATCTGACGCCGGTGCAGTGACACGACCCCGATCGTCCCGAGGGGATTCTGTGATGGTTGCTGGTTCCTGGTGGTGTTAAGCGCTGCGTATAATTAAGTTGAGTAGTATCATCTCACTTGTACCCCAGCGACTTCATCATTTCAGCGATCATCAAGCTCATTTAAATCATTTTGGTCTTGCCTCTCAAACAATACAAGTTTCAGGGTTTAGGAATTTCATGTTTTTGTGTTGCCGAGCAACAACGAGCTAAACTGGTGGTTTTGTTTTTTGGTTGCCGTTA